TTTACTTAGGACAAAGCAACTACTTTCACAGAATCTGGGTGTCGTTCCCCCCCCCCCAAGGAAAAAAAATCCCTGGAATACCAACTGAACAAAGCAGGAAGCTTGTGCCAAGTGCTCTGCCCCTCCTATTTTTCAGGCTCACTACACCTTCATTCTTGAGTCACAAGTGCATAATTTATTTTTACAAGACTCCAGATAAAATGATGTCGTTAGAATAGTTCCTTTTTGGTTGTTTTAAAAAAAAACAAAAACTGGGACACCTGGGGGGCTTAGTCAGTGAAGCATCTGCCTTAGGCTTGGGTCATGATCCCGGAGTCCTGGGATGAAGGCCCCACATTGGGATCCTTGCTCAGCTGGGAGCTTTCTTCTCCCTCCCCCACTCCCTCTGCTTGTGTTCCCGCTCTCACTGTGTCTCTTTCTGGCAAATGAATAAATAAAATCTTTTTTATGAGACTGATGCCCTATCTACTGCACTAACGAGGCTCCTAAATAAAATCTTTTTTAAAAAGACTTCTTGAGGGGCACCTGGGTGGCTCAGTAGGTTAAAGCCTCTGCTTTCAGCTCAGGTCATGGTCCCAGGGTCCTGGAATCGAGCCCCTCGTTGGGCTCTCTGCTCAGCAAGGAGCCTGCTTCCTTCTCTCTCTGCCTGCCTCTCTGCCTACTTGTGATCTCTGTCTGTCAAATAAATAAAATCTTAAAAAAAAAGAAAGCCTTCTTGTGGGCACCTGGGTGGCTCAATGGGTTAAGGCCTCTGCCTTCAGCTCGGGTTGTGGTCCCAGGGTCCTGGGATCGAGACCCACATCGGGCTCTCTGCCCACCGGGGAGCCTGTTTCTCCCTCTCTGTCTGCCTCTCTGCCTACAGGTGATCTCTGTTTGTCAAATAAATAAACAAAATCTTAAAAATAAAATAATAAAAATAAATAAAAAGCCTTCTTGGGCGCCTGGGTGGCTCATTCAGTTAAAAGGCTGCCTTCAGCCCAGGTCATGATCCCAGGGTCCTCCTTGTTCAGCAGGAGCTGGCTTCTCGCTCCCTCTGCCTGCCATTCCCCCTTGCTTGTTCGTCTGTCTCTCTCTCTCTCTCTGTCAAATAAATAAATAAAATCTTAAAAAAAAACACAAAAAAACCCCAGCCTCCTTATTTATATTTCAGCTAATCTAATAGAACTGTTCTTCAAATCATCACAGGTTGGTGAAAGTGAGAAGAACATTGTTCTGGGCTATGTTTCTTTTTCTTTCTTTCTTTCTTTTTTTTTTTTTTAAGTTTTTAACCCCAACTGACACCCTGAGATCAAGTGTGTCACATGCCTCACCGACTGAACCAGCCAGGTGCCCCTGGGCTGTTTCTGATAATTACCTGTGACAATTAGTACAAGAAAAGTTTTGGTGGTTAATTTGTACAAAGTAAAGGAAGATGGTTAAGGATGGTTATGCACATCTTCAAAATTAAGGAAAGGCTTTTTGGTAAATGGTAGCCCAAAGTAGCCACTATTGTTTTACGCATTTTATTTTTTTTTAAAGATTTTATTGATTTATTTGACAGAGATCACAAGTAGGCAGAGAGGCAGGCAGAGAGAGAGAGATGGGGAACCCGGCTCCCCGCTGAGCAGAGAGCCCAATGCGGGGCTCGATTCCAGGACCCTGGGATCACGACCTGAGCCGAAGGCAGAGACTTTAACCCACTGAGCCACCCAGCCACCCCTGTTTTACACATTTTAGCAATAGGGTTCTAAGTAGCTAGTTTTATAAGAAAAAATCTTAACTGTAATTTTAAATTAATGAATGAGTTTAGAGAAAGGGAGTATAGGAGCAGACAGGGAGGGGGAGTGAGAATGGGGCTCCTGGTTGGGGGTTGGGAGAAGGAGAGAGGGAATCTAAAGCAGGTTCCACCCCCAGCACAAGCTGACATGGGGCTCCATTCCAAGACCCTGAGATCATGACCTGAGCTGAAATCAGGAGTCACACACTCAACCAGCTGTGCCACCCAGGTGCCCCATTAACTGTAATTTTTTTTTTTAAGATTTTATTTATTTATTTGAGAGACAGAGATCACAAGTAGGCAGAGAAGCAGGCAGAGAGAGGAGGAAGCAGGCTCCCTGCTGAGCAGAGAGCCCGAGGAAGGGCTCAATCCCAGAACCCTGGGATTCACGACCTGAGCCGAAGGCACAGGCTTTAGCCCACTGACCCACCCAGGTGCCCCTACTTCATTATCTTTTGATCTGTTTTCTTTCAAGGTCAGAAGTAAGCTCTGAGATAATCTTTTCAGTTGGGCATCTGCCTTCTGCTCAGGTCATGATCTCAGGGTCCTCCCATCGAGCCCCTCATGGCGGGGGGTGGGGTGGGGGGTGTATGTGTGTGTCTGCTCAGCGGGGCGTCTGCTGCCCTGTGTGGGGCTCTCCTCTCAGTGAGGGGTCTGCTGCTCTCTGGGCCGGCTCCCTGCTTGTGCTTTCTCTCTCTCAAATAAAATCTTTTAAAAGATAAAATATTTTCTTTATCCCAGTGTAACTGTTGTACTTTGTTTACAGTAAATATCTACCTGAAATATGCACCTAGGGGCACCTGAGTGGCTCAGTCGTTGAGCTTCTGCCTTCGGCTGGGGTCATGATCCCTGGGTTCTGGGATCGAGCCCCGCATCAGGGTCCCTGCTTAGCAGGAAGCCTGCTTTTCCCACTCCCCCAACTTGTGTTCCCTCTCTTGCTGTCTCTCTCTCTGTCAAATAAATAAATAAACGAACCTTTAAAAAAAAAAATGTGCACCTAGCTACAGCTGTTTACGGTATTGCCGTATTATAAATTTTTAATTAAACCTCAATAATTTGTAAGTTACATGACGGCAGTGAATTTACACTTGGGCTCAGTATGTATTAAGTTGAAACTATGAAAGTAAAAATACTTTTTATACTGTCCATTAAGTGAAATAGCATTCTAAGAGTTGGATTTTGAAGTGGTAGTTGCCTTTTCTTAGTAAATACAGAGCTATGATAATCCTGTTCAAAAAACTTTAGAGGAAGTTACTGCCCTTGATGCTAATTGTCTAGTGATAACTGTTTGCTCAGTAGCAAAGACAGATGGCAGGTCCACAGGTTGCTGAATTGTTTCAATTTTTATCAGGTAAGGTCAGTGCCACAGGTTTGTCTGTTCTTAATATTTATTTTTGCTAAGTATTGCATGAGTTTGTTCTGGCAGAAAAACAATTCAAGCATACATAAATGGGAAGGAAACTCCTCTTTCGGTCCCCGTCCAGTCATTTTGCCAGTCCTTTCCCTAGAGGTAGGCATTCACTCTTAACAGTTGGGTTTGTTCTTCCACACCTTTGCCCTGGAAAGGTTTGGATGTTGCAAGTAAGGCTTCAGTTCTCAGAGAGACTCCTTTAGTCTCCTGTTGTTTGACTCCCAGATTTTGCTATTTGCATCTACCTTCATGTAAGGGTCCCTGGGGAATACACATGTGGGTGTGTTTATGTGCTGTGTTTTGTCAATTCTAATAATCACTATTATTGTACATGCTATTATTAAGAAAGGAAAACTGCTCTTTTAACTGTAGAATACTGGACTGTCAAGCCGAATCAGATTTTAGAGATGTTAAAGCGTGTGGTCGGGGAGTGCTTGAATGGATGGCATAGATTGTGTGCTGTGCCTGTATTGTTTTCTGCAACTTGCTTTGTCACTTAGTATTTCCTATAATTGCTTCATTTATACCACAGTCTGAATATATCACATTATATTTAGCAGTTTCTTTATTGAGGAACTTTGTAAATTGTTTACGATAGCAAGAAAACCACTGTATCCCTCTGCTTTTGTGTATTCAGGACAGATCACGGGTGGATCACAAGAATTGGAGTGACTGGGTCATGGGGTGTGCACATTTTTAGTGTTGAGATAAATTGCTAAATTGCCTTCCAAGATAACTAACAGTGTATACTTTCAAATTAGTATGGGAGAGTGGGTACCTCTTTGTGCCATTCTTACCAGCTCTCGATGTTACCTTTGTTTGAGCTATGTGACGGCAGAGGCTTTGGTATGTAATGGAAGACCGTTCGAATTTCCTTGACTTGTGAGGTCTAGGATCTTGGGATATTCCTTGGCAACTTCTCTTTTTTTTTTTCCTCCTCCGAGTTTCCTGTTCATAACCTTTAAACCCACATTCTTGTCTCATCAGTGATTTTATTTTGGTGACTACTTTATGCATGGATAAAATATGTAGGCAATATGTACTACCCTTTTTTTTTTAAGTGGCAGTCTCTTTTATTAGAACCAGTCAATAATTAATGCTACCATTTATCAGAGAAGCAGCACTGTTCTCTAAGGATTTCCCATGTTACCAGCTCCCATTTCTATGCAGCTTTGAGTGGCAGCCCAGTCTTCACAGGTCAAAGCAGGCTTCACTCTCCATTGCCAATTGGAAACCTGCCAGAGCCAAGCATGCTGTGGAGGAAGGAGAAGGCTCTGATAGCTGTCATTGCTGCTGTCCCATTACCTTGGGAGGAGCAGTGACTGAGAGCTTCAGGGGTGTCACAGATAGGAAAGGTCTGAGAGGAGGTTCACCTCTCGTTTTAGAGTCCCTTCACCGCATCACAATGCAGTTTGTGGCCTTTCAGGGTACGCATCACCTCTTAGGCGTGATCATCTTAAAAGTGACTGATATAAAATTATTTCTTAAACTTTTAGAAAACGATTGTTACACAATTTCTGATATGTGTAGAAGATGTCAGCAGAACAGTTTGTGTATCTGACTGTTAGCTTGACAGATGGGTTTCTCAGTAGAAGTTTGAACATGAATGTCGGTGCTTGGCTTCATGGGCGAAAAAAAAAATCCCTGCATGAAGGGTTTCTGTCTTAGGCTCCAACTATTAAAATTTAATATTTGAAATACAAATGTCACCATAAGATTTGTATCCATCACAGGCAGTGTGTGACGTTTCCTTATGGGGGACCTTCAGGATAGAACACCGAAAAATACGTTTTTTGCCAATTCTAATTGTTTTCATGTTTCTTTATCTTACAGAAAAAGATGGCAAAGCCTTTCATCCAACTTATGAGGAAAAACTGAAGCTTGTGGCACTGCATAAGCAGGTTCTTATGGGTCCATATAATCCAGACACTTGTCCTGAGGTTGGATTCTTTGATGTGTTGGGGAATGACAGGAGGTAACCGTGTTTTGTTGTATAATGACCTTAGTGAGAGTAGTGTTGAGAGGAGCGCGAAGTGAATTGGTTAAGACGCAGACAGCTGGTTCCTTAGCGTAGAGGAAGACTGAGACAGCCATTTTTGCTTGCAGTGTCTGGAATCTTCAGATGTGTATCTGTTTTTGGCTTGGAGATGTTTATGGGTAAATAATGTGGAAGAAGTTTACTCATCTGATTATGAACATAAGACAAGGACAACGTCATTTGATTCTTCCTAAGTGACATTAAAAGCAGCCACTTAAAATACACAGTCACTGATTTTCTTACTGGGACGAACAGAGTTGTGATAGAAAACAATGCCCTGAGAGCTGTATTCAGTTAAGACTAAAATGTGATAGGAGGGAGGTCAGACTCGGGTACCCTTTTGCTCGTATGGGAATGAGCAGCAGCGCAGCTGAAGCATAGTTTCCGGCAGTGAGTGTGGCTTGTGTGTGATGAGTCTAATTCAGTGTATCAGTCGTGCATACTTGTTGAAACTCGAGTTTGGAGCCCTTTGCTGATGGTGGAATCATTCTGCATCTTAGTTGTCACTGAGAATTGTTCACATTTAGGCTGAAATTAAATCATAGTCCTACTGTCTTAGGAAGAGGAGGTAATGACTTTCCTTGTTCTTCCCTGCAGGAGAGAATGGGCAGCCCTGGGGAGCATGTCTAGGGAGGAGGCCATGCTAGAATTTGTCAAGCTCCTACATCGCTGTTGCCATCTCTTTTCAACGTACGTCGCATCCCACAAAATAGAAAAGGAAGAGCAAGAAAAGAAAAGGTGAAGTTCGAGGACACAGCATACTTTATTCCTGTGCAGCCCCAGTCCTGGTGCTTTTTTGCCTTACGGAATCACGTGTCCCACTGCCCTTGGATCTCCACTTCCTTTTATCTATTTATTTACTTTTAAAGACTACTTATTTTTGTAGAGATAGAGCGTGCAAGCAGGGGCAAGGGCAGAGAGAGAAGGGAAGAGAGAATTTCAAGCAGACTGAGCGCAGAGCCTGATGCAGGACTTGATCTCACGACCCTGAGATTGTGACCTCAGCCCGAATCAAGAATCTTACACTTAACTGACTATGCCACCCAGGTGCCCCCAGATTCCCCACTTCTTACTCCAGTTGTTCAGACCTGCTGGTGTGAGCAGGTATCCATACTAGGAGTTCGGGGGCGGGGGGGCAGGGAGCTGCTGCTTCTGTCTGGCTGTCCCTTTGAAAGGAATCACCTGTCCATCACAGCAACATTCCTCTTGTCCTGGTTATACCGAGGTTTTGAGCAAACTCCACTGTAAACTCAGCCCCTCTCCCCATCCTTACCCCCTGGTCTGACACCCCCTTTGCTATTGTTTCCCTCGAGCTTCTCGAACATTATGCCGCATATTATGACTCTGTCTCCTGCACTATGTGGTAGATCTTATGGAGACATGCATATTGTCTCTGGCTCCTAGGTGGCTTATTGTTTCCAGGGGGCGGGTGAGAATGCTGTTGTTTATGTTGATGGGATTTTTTTTTTGTCATAACTGAGTTCAACAGCATTACAGTTAACACCTTATTTTTTGTGTTGTGTTTTTTTTTTTTCCAAGATTTATATATTTCAGAGAGTGCTGGTGGGGGTAGGGGCAGAGGGAGAGGGAGAGAGACTCTCCAGCAGACACCCCGCTCAGTGCAGAGCCCGACCAGGGCTCTAAGTGAGCAACATACAGCACTGGGTGTAATTTATTCCTGTTTAAGATGATAGGAAGTAGCTTAATACATTTTCAGAAGATATTTGGGGTGCCTAGTGGCTCAGTGGGTTAGGCAACTGCCTTCGGCTCAGGTCATGATCCTGGAGTCCCGGGATTGGGTCCTACATCAGTCTGAGTCCCTGCTCGGCAGGGAGTCTGCTTCTCCTGCTGACCTTTCTCCACTCATCCTCTTTCTCTTTCATTGTCTCTCTCTCTCTCTCTCTCTCTAATAAAGAAATTAAAAAAAAAAAGATATTTATCCAAAGGAAAAGTTTTGATTCGGGCAACCCTCTTGGGTCCCCTCCCTCTTTGGGAGTTTTGTACTGTTACTTTACTATCACTCAGTAAACCTTGCTTTGCTGCTCAAAAAAAAAAAAAAAAGTTTTAATTCATAGTGGTAAATTGAATATTTAGTAGTCATCTTAACCTGTAAAACTGCATTTTTCCTTTTAAAATGTACTTACATGGATGCTTGGGTGGCTTAGTCATTAAGCATCTGCCTTTGGCTCAGGTCACAATCCTGGCATCCCGGGATCGATCCCTCCTGCATTGAGCTCCTTGCTCAGTGGGGAGTCTCCTTCCCCCTCTGTCCTTGCCCCTGCTCCTGCGTGCGCGCACTTGCTCGCTCGCTCTCTCTCTCAAAAGAAATAAAATCGTTTTTAAAAATGTACCTCTCTCATGAGATGAAATCCAGCTAGCACCCTTTGAAAGCATTTAAGACTAGATTTCCTCCTACAGTCCCAGCTCTGGCTGTGGAACACACCTTGTCCTCCACCAGCTGTGACAGGTTAAAAATAGGTCATGTTATTGCTGTTTCGAGCCCTGGCTGTGGCTCGGATGTGCTGTTCATTACTTATAGGAATTTGGGGAGAGGAGTGGGATAAGTCAAGCAGTTTTCATGGTGGGACCAAGAAATGCTGTCCCCTCAGATCCCCCGAGAGCACCTGCATCCCATCCTCCGCTGTCCTGCCCTTCATACTGTGCTCAGCTGGCTAGCGCCCCCCTGCCTTCCTCTTGCTGCGGGGCCTGTGCTCCCCGGGAGAGGGGCCAAGGGTGGGCTGGAGCTGGGTAGGGGCTGCACCTGCATTTCCAGCTCTTCTTTTTCTCTTTTAAATTCAAAGCTTTGATACTTTTTAATGTTTAGAAGTAATATACAGATACATGCGATATAAATATTTTTCATTTATGGCAGTATGTGAAGCACAGACCAAAAACCTTCCCTCCTACCTTGCTTTCTAGGACACATTTAAGGTGTATCTTTTTTAAAAAAAAAAGATTTGTTTATTTAAATAAATAATAGCGCGAGTGCACATGCGCACATCAGGGAGGGACAGAGAAAGTTTAGCAGACTTCTGTGTGAGCGTGGAGCCTGGCTGGGGGCTCTATCCCAGGACCCTGAGATCACAACGTAAGCCAAAAGCAAGAATTGGACGCTGAACCGACTATGCCATCCAGGCGCCCCCAGTTAAGGTATTTCTTTGCAAACCTTTTCCTAGTCCCTGTTTTTTTCATTAAACAACCATATTAAGTGTCTGCGTGTCAGGCCACACAGTCGTGGTTTTTTTGTGGCTACGTGCCATCCTGGTGCATTACTCATTTTAGATGTGTGCGTCGAGTGCTTGTCCTATCTAGCACCGTGCTCAGCGCTGCGGATGGAGTGCTGGGAGATAGGCAGCCTTTGCCCTCGCGGGGCACAGACTTTAACAGAAGGGCGGGTGCGGTGCTGAATTTCTCGCACAAATGGAATTACAAGCACAGCAGACAGTGTGAAGGGAAAGCCTACGATGCTGAGAGCATGGGTGAGGGAAACCTGCCGGGGGGGTGGGCACATCGTGATCTCAGTGGTCTCTTTAGTGGACACCTTTCTCTTCTGTGCAGCCATAATTTCTGCTGTGTTCTCGCGGATTGTGAGATTGACCCCACAGGATAAATTTGTACCAATGAAGTGTGTATATTTCAAATTTCATTAATACAACCACATTGTTCTCTCCGAGTTGTGTCCGTTTTCACTGGGAAATAAAGTCTTCAATTATGTTTAAGCAGGATTCTTGGTACAGGGCTCACCGTGTCTGTTCTGGCTTATAGGAAAGAGGAGGAGGAGCGGCGGCGGCGTGAAGAGGAGGAGAGGGAGCGTCTGCAGAAGGAGGAGGAGAAGCGCAGGAGAGAGGAGGAGGAGAGGCTGAGGCAGGAGGAAGAGGAGAGGAGGCGAATAGAAGAGGAGAGGCTTCGGCTGGAGCAGCAGAAGTAAGTGGGTCAGACAGCTTGTGTTTAAGCACAAGAGCCGGACCTCCACAGCCTCTGGGTGCCACTCCTTGGGGGAGCTCTGGGACATGTGCACTGGGAGGGCATATCTGCCGGCGCCCGCCATTTGTACCAGTGATCTGTCCCGTTTCCGAGAGGGCCTCAGCTCAAGCTTCAGTGGGTCCCCAAAATGAAAGGGCTCCGGGTTAGCTGCCAGGACCCAGGGGCTAGAGCGGGGAGCTGAGGTGGCTTGCTCTGTCCCTGGGTCCATGTGATCTTGTCTTGCTTCCCAGGTTGTGTGTCTGTCTACCCCCCCGCCCCTTCTGTTGTCTGCCTTGGTGGACACAAGGCACTGGCTGGGATCGGGGAGAGCCCCAGTCCCAGAGTCCCAGGACAGGGTCTGCTCAGCGCAGCCTGTGTTAGGTATCTGTTCCTCATGCAGGATTTGGGACCTGAAACTATTTCTCATTCAGGGCTGTGAGAGCAGCTGTGACACAGGGACTGGTTCTTCAGGAGGGAGCCGTGGGGACGGAGGAAGGGTTGACACTGATGTGCGGGAACAAGGTCTGAGGTGTGGGGACTGGGGGTGGCATTTAGAGGAAACAGAGCATGACCGTCCACTGATGCCTCGTTACCTGTCAGCAGCAGCTTAGCAAGGCTTCTGCACTAGCTGCACACCAGCCTGGGGCCTCATTCCACACTGGGGAGAGACGAGGAATGCTGCATCTTTGGGAGTGGGCGGTGCCCCTGGTGGGCCCTGTGTCAGGGTGTGTGCAGGAGTTTGTGAGATTTTGCTCATCCCTCTGCTTACGAATCTGTTTGGTGATAGACGGCTTTCCGGTCTGTGTTAAGTTGGTCACGTAACTGAGGTAGGGAGCCTGTGGTGCCTAGAGGAGAGAAAATGGGATTTAGAAAAAGAGAAATTACTGTCCATGTACCAGGCATGCCCGGGTACTATTTTTCCTGTTGTTCTGGAAGGCAGGCTTGCTTTATTTATTTGACGGGGTCGGGGGTGGGGGTGGGCAGAAAGAGAATAAAAAGGGAGAGTGGCAGAGGGAGAAGCAGACTCCCCATGGAGCAGGGAGCCTGATGCAGGACTCAATCCCAGGACCCTGGGATCGTGACGTGAGCTGAAGGCAGATGCTTTCGCCCTGAGCCCTGCCACCCCAGCGCCCCAAAGGCAGGCTTTAAATGAAATGCTAGAGACATGGCGAGTTTCCATCACTATACTGAAACCAGGGCCGCACGTGACAAGTTCTGGTTACTGGGTTACTGTCTTGCCTCCTCCTAATGTCGGGGTGTTCAGGAAGTAAAGCGGTGGCCAGCAGCTGAATGTCCCCTCAGCCCCCCTGTGGATGACAGGCGCCCTCTCACAGCCTCCTGCTGGGAGGCTAGGCTGCCCCGCCTGCCTCACCGTGTCCTGGTTCTTCCGGCTCCCAGCATTGTGATCGTGGGCCAGGTGGCGATCACAGGCACCACCTCCCGTCCGAAGACGTCCCTCTGCCGCGCTCATGGGAGCCCAGTGGCTGAGTGCCTGTAGGTGCTCCGACACAGGTATCAGCCTCCCTCTCTGTCAGTGAGGAGCAAGAGGCCGAGTGTCTGGGCCCCGGGCACATGATGGCAGGAAGGTCTTCTCCGCTCCGTCCTTTCGTGGAGGGACAGTGACAAATGAGGCACAAAGATGTTTCCTTTTGCCGCAAGCCATGGCCAGCGGCCGATGCGTGTGTGTTCCTTGCTATTGCAGGCAGCAGATCATGGCAGCCTTGAACTCGCAGACGGCTGCGCAGTTCCAGCAGTACGCCGCGCAGCAGTACCCCGGCAACTTCGAGCAGCAGCAGCTCCTCATCCGGCAGCTGCAGGAGCAGCATTACCAGCAGTACATGCAGCAGCTCTACCAGGTGCAACTGGCCCAGCAGCAGGTGTGTGGGGCTGGGGGGCAGGGAGGCTCGAGTACGCGCTGCTCCCACCAGCCTCAGGGGATGAAGTTGCTCCTCGGGGAGACTCAGGATAGCCAATAGAGGACGTGGAAGCCAGACACGGCGGGACCTCTGCTCCTTTGTCCCGGGGCATCTGAGGTCATGTGCACCAGGTGTCATTCCAGTGAGTCCGGCGGAGACTCTGTTGCTAGTCCTGGCACCGTGAGGAATTGGGAAACTCGTGTTTGTCCAGCCGTGTCCTCCAGGCTCTCATAGGCCGGGGCAGCTGCCCGTGGGAGGACCTGTCCCCAGAGGCTCTTGATGTTTGCTTCAGGTGCCGGAGTGAGACCGCGCTCCCCTGCGCCACAGTGCGGGCCCCCCCCAGCTCCCCACCCCCACGTACTTGGCTTCCACGAAGGAGTAGGTGGCTCGGGCTGAGGAGCGTGGGATGAAGAGCAGGGTGACACTTGGACTCAGTCCTGGCCTTGCCATTGTCGTGCTTGAGATCAGACAAGTTACCTACTTCTCTGATTGTTCTGCCTTTTCTCTCACTGAGCAGGAATGGGGTAGAAAATCCGGTACTGGTCCTGCTCACCTCCCTGAACTCTCAGAGGACTGAAATGAGAAGAAGCGTTGCTCTGTGAAAGTGTTGTGTGCGTACGGCAGATCGCTAATCTGTGTTCATTTTTCACACTGGGCAGAGGCACTAATGCCTTCTTGGAGGGAATCTGGCAAAGTTTTACTTCCTTACTTTTCACTTAGAGAGTAGTTACGATCTGTCATTGTAGTGCTCAGCATTTCTTGTCAGATGAAGTGGTCTGGGTTGCTTTGCCAACCTCTTTAAATTCTTTGAAAATTAATATCCTTACTTAAAATACCTTTTCCCTTGAGTCTTTAGCACGAGTGAGAAGTTAAAAAGCACGGCAGATTTTGTGTTGTTCCTAAGATGAAGAAGATGTCAGACCAGAGTTTTTTCAAGACAATAAGTGGCTTTTCTGAGGGATTTTTTTCCTCTGTCCTCGAAAGCCTGTTTCTCCTTGAGGGTACCACCCCCTCTTCCTGCTTGTAGCACTATGAGATGGGCTTTGAGATGATTTTCTGCTAGGATAGCTCACACGCCCTGCCCTGTTCTTAGGTCATTTAGTGAGAACGAAGTTGGTCAAGTAGGGCAAACCGGGAGTCTGTGGAAGTGAAGGGTCTGGAATCCGTAATTTAGATTACAGTGATGGAACTCGGTTTTACACGTTGATTGGTGGTCTCTGGGCATGGAGAAGGAAAGGCACTAGAAAAAAGAAAACTTCAGTCCTATAAAGTAATTTTTTAGTAAATACTGAGCAAAATGACAAAATACTAACGCTTGTTCATTTGGAGGTGTAGTTATATGGGTGTTTGTTCCTGTACCTTTCTGTGCTTTCAAAACCTTCCCAAGGTACAGATGAGAGATGATGTAAATAAATCATTATGATCTGCTGTCTGTAATAGATGTATATTCTTGGGCAATGGGATCCCCAGGGGAGTTGTTCACTGTGTTGGAGGGTTTCGAGTGTGGCCGGTCTGGGCCTGCTGACCGTCCCCAGAAATGCTTTTCTTGCTGCCCTGTCGTGCAGGGAGTGTTCTGAGTGCGCCAGCATGTTTTGGCTATATGCACTTTTTCTAGAAGCTGTACTCTTTCTAGAAAACCCTTGGGGAATGACGGAGAATCTAGGCCTTGGAAAGAGGTATTTTAAAATCTTACATGTATTACCAGCCTGTGTTAGCTGCAGAAGAAAGCGTTGCTGTTCATGGAAGTAATTGGGTTGTAGATGATATGTTACACGTGTGTACAGATACGCAGAAATACGTCATTATCCCTAAACCATGAGAGTATAAAGGCTTTTTTCCTGTTATTTCTTTGTTTCATTTTTTAATTTTTTTCCTTTTGTAAATATAAGTTTACTTACGACTTTCATGTTTTATTTACTTTTTTATTTTTTTTGAGGATTTTATTCATTCATTAGAGAGACAGCGCAAGCAAGGGGAGCAGCAGGCAGAGGGAGAGAGAGAAGCCAGTTCCCTGCTGCGCAGGGAGCTGGATGAGGGGCTCGATCCCAGGATCTAGAGATCATGACCTGAGCCGAAGGCAGATGCTTAACCATCTGAGCCACCCAGGCGCCCCAGACTTCCATGTTTTAACTTAGAGTTACTTAAATGCCCAATGGTCATCAACAGTAAAACGGATAGATTTTGTATCTTCACAATGGAATATCGTAGCAGGACAAACAAATAAAATACAGTTACTTGTATAACTTTATGGATGAACCTTGCAAAAATAATGTCGAGTAGAAGAAGCCAGACACAAAAAAGAATACTTATTATATGGTTTCATTTATATAACATCAAAAAACAGGCAAAGCGAGTCTATAGTGGTTTTTTGTTCTTGTTTTTTTCTTTTATTTGACAGACAGAGATCACAAGTAGGCAGAGAGAGGGGAGGAAGCAGGCTCCCTGCTGAGCAGGGAGCCCGATGCGGGGCTCGATTCCAGGACCCTGGAATCATGACACAAGCTGAAGGCAGAGGTTTAACCCACTGAGCCACCCAGGCGCCCCAAGTCCGTAGTGTTTTAAGACAGTTGTTACCCTTGCAGCACGGGTGCGGGAGCGTGTCAAAAGGAGGATTCTGGGACACACATAATGTCTTGACCTGGTTGCTTATGTGGGTATGTTTGTTTTATGAAGAATGATCAGTCTGTATATTTTTATATTATTTGTGCACTTTCTCTCTGTGTAATTCAAAGTTTCCCCAAAAGTTGCTTAAGTAACAACACTTAGGTATGTCTAATAATACTAATATCCATCTTGTTAGAGGAAGGAAATGTCCCCAAATAGTTGTCCTTCGTGTTTAAAATGTTTTTACGCTTCCATTTTGACTTGGGACATTTTTATGAATGCACGTATTTTAATCATAATTATGTAAACAGTGATGAATTTTCATCAAGAATGTATTTTGACCTCCATTTTGTAAGCCTGTTTAATTCTTAAGTTGATATTTTTTATAACACCATTAATAGTTTTCAGTTCAATTGTGATGCTTTTTTTAGTTTATGGTGAAGATTTCGTTAATTGATTATTTTTGTTCATATCAGAGTAATTGCCCATATTTGATTTGTTGATTACTTTGGGGCCCCATATCAGATTTTACTAGATACAGCTTTTGCCTTTGTGAGTTTTTCTTTGTGATCATTTATTTCTACCAAGTTTAATTTTCCAGTTTCAGATTTTATGTATCTGAATTTATCAAGTTTTATTGTCGGGTTTTTTTTTTTTTTTTAAGATTTTATTTATTTGACAGGGAGAGAGATCATGAGTAGGCAGAGAGGTAGGCAGAGGCAGAGGGAGAAGCAGGCTCCCTGCTGAGCACAGAGCTCGATTAGGAACTCGATTCCAGGACCCTGGGATCATGACCTGAGCCAAAGGCAGAGGCTTAACCCACTGAGCCACCCAGGTGTCCCTATTCTGTCGTGTTTTTTTTTTTTTTTTTTAATTTTATTTATTTATTTGACAGAGATCACAAGTAGGCAGAGAAGCAGGCAGAGAGAGAGGAAGAAGCAGGCTCCCTGCTGAGCAGAAAGCCCTACTCAGGGCTCGATCCCAGGACACCGGGAGCATGACCCAAGCCGAAGGCAGAGGCTTTAACCCATTGAGCCACCCAGGCGCCCCTATTCTGTCGGTTCTAAGAACAAATGTTACTGTGTTCAATTTTTGCCTTTAATTGTATTTGGGGTTGATGATTTCATTCTAATTTTTCCTGGTTTTTCTAATATTTCTTAGGTCAACACACACGTTTTTTGTCCATGAAAATTTTTCATGATTTTTAGCTGTTGGCTTGATATTGTCCTACTAATATTCATCATAGACAGGATAAAACTGATAAAGTCTGTTAGTAATTTTTTTAAAACCATCCCATTTTATTTTATTTTATTTTATTTTTATTTATTTATCTGACAGACAGAGATCACAAGTAGGCAGAGAGGCAGGCAGAGAGAGAGGAGGAAGCAGGCTCCCTGCTGAGCAGAGAGCCAGATGAGGGGCTCGATCCCAGGACCCTGGGATCATGACCTGAGCCAAACGCAGAGGCTTTAACCCACCGAGCCACCCAGGTGCCCCTATTAGTAATTTTTTAAAAAGATTTTATTTATTTATTTGACAGAGAGAGAGCACAAGCAGGGGGAGCAGCAGGCAGAGGGAGAATCAGGGTCCCCGATAAGCAAGGAGCCCAATGCGGGACTCAATCCCAGAACCCTTGGGATTACAACCTGAGCAGCCGCTTAACCGACTGAGCCCCCGCAGGCACTCCCATTAGTAATTTCTTGCAGCACAGTGCTGTGGTAGGACAAGAACATGGGGTCATCCTTAGCTGTCTTAGTCAGTGTGTCTTCACTGTTTCTCCACTTGTAGGCGGCCTTACAGAAACAGCAGGAAGTAGCAGTCGCCGGGACTTCTTTGCCCGCGTCGTCCTCAAAAGTGAACGCAGCGGCTCCAGGCGATAGGATGCCAGTCAACGGACAGGCCAGAACTCACACTGACAACCCAGAAAAAGAAGTTGAACCAGAAGCTGCAGAAGCAGCTGTGGAGAATGGACCAAAAGGTATGACTTGGCAGATGTGTGTGTCTGTCCAGATGTCATAACTGAGGTTCATGGGAAGTGAGTCAGGAGTCCGGCTTGCTGGCTTTGGAGCACATTCTGGGAGAGTTGAATGCTTTTGTACCCTTTTGAGTCTGAATCTGGTGCTTCTGGTGACCCTTAGCAAAGCAGGGAAGAGCACGTCAGAGGACTTTTGGATACCTTAGGTTGTGAGTTGGTTATCTGTTCCTATGTGACAAATTATGCCCAGATTTCGCAGCTTCTGGTAACAGCTTTTTAGTGTCTCACACAGTGGGTGAGATTCCTGGGGTTTCGGGAACTGAGGAGCAGCTTAGCTGAGCGGTGGTGGTTCTGGTCCCAGGAGGGTTCATTCGTGATGCGGGCCGGAACTGGAGTCAGGTGAAGGCTCCACGGGCACCAGAGACTCTGCTTCCACGGTGCTTTCCTCCGTGACTGGCAGGCTGGTGCTGGCTATTGGCAGGAGGCCACAGTTCCTTGCCCTGCGAAGCTTCTCCTTTGGGCTGAGTGTCCTCGACGCAGTGGCTGGCTTCCTCCAGAAAACACGATGCGAGGGACCAAGACAAGTGGTGGTGTCTTTCACACTCTGACTTTGAAAGTAGTACATTGTGGTGGCACCATATTCTGTTGGCCACACTTACCGACCCTGGGATGTTGTGGGGGGTGACCTCCAAGTCCCTGAACACCCCGACGGGGATCACAGGGTTGGGGGCATCTTGGGGGCTGCCTACCAAATATTGCAGTATTTTTTGAGACTAAAGTACCAGAAGATAAGTTAGTGTTTTCAAAGGTCTAGCTTTTTATGCGCAGCTCATCCATTCCTTCAGCAATTGACTGAAGATTTTCTGAGTGCTAAGGGAACAGCACGAGGCAGAAGGACACACTAAGTATAAACCATAGCCGCGTACGAGCTGTGCTTGGGAGAGAGGCATGCTGTAGGTTGAGAGCTTGTGATGTGGGGACTGTGACCGAGTCACAGGGGTCAGCGAGAGGCTTCCTGGGGGAGAGACACCTGAGTGGAGAGAGCCAAAGCAAGGCTAGGCACTAACTTAGGAAGGAAAAGAGCATAGCAGGGCTGGTGGTCTGGGTGGCGGTGTGGTTCTGGGTGGTGGTGTGCAGAAAGTTGGTTTCAGACATCTGCCTTGTCTTTTTAGAGTAAGTAACAGAAAACAGCTTTGGATAAGACCTTGAAGATCCCATTGTTTAACCTCTCTTCCCTTTTATCCTTATAAGAATTTATCAGTTGTTTTGTTTTGTTTTGTTTTGTTTTGTTTTGTTTTGTTTTTAATAACCTTCACACCCAGCATGGGGCTCGAACGCATGACCCCAAGGTCAAGAGTCGCAGGCTCCACCAGCTGAACCGGCCAGGCGACCCAGGTCTCCCAGTATTTTCAGATGAATCTTTTGTTGAAGGTTCTGTGACGGCGTCTAACAAACCTGCTGAGGGACTGCTACATGCAGAGACGCGGCAACAGAACTTTCCCCTTCTCTGTTCAGCCCGTAGCAGGGCCGTCCTGTTCAGATTTTTGTTTCCGTGAGCTCCTTTAGAATAGCCCCTGGAACTTTGGGATCTACAGAGGTCGAGGCTTTTATGTTTTCTTGACAGAGAGACTGAAGTAAAAGCCCAGCTTTCTTTGTGTGGATCCAAAAGTGAATTTATTCCTAAGTCCAGAGATACCCTTCATTATTAGGTTTCCCTGGTACCAGCTAGGAGGTTTCCAAAGTCAGTCTTAAATCCGTGCTCATACGTAATCACAATGTTGAAGAAAATCACTTCTATGATTGTGGATTGCATGTGTTCCTTGAGGCGTTGTGCTGACATTGGTAGAAAGTTCAGGGGGACGCTTTGCTGGGGAACCTGTGTATTCTTGAGTCCCTGACCTTCAGGTAGACTCGATGGCGGGTGGTGTCTCACTGTGGCCAGGTGGGGGTCCTGTGCGAGTTGGCCACATGCTGCAGGCTCGGGCTCATCCTCTTCAGCGTGTGTAATTCCTGTTGCCTTTAGACTCTCTTCCAGTAATAGCAGCTCCATCCATGTGGACACGTCCCCAGATCAAAGACTTTAAAGAGAAGATTCGGCAGGATGCAGACTCCGTGATTACAGTGGGCCGAGGAGAAGTGGTCACTGTCCGAGTCCCCACCCACGAAGAAGGATCATACCTCTTTTGGGAATTTGCTACAGACAATTATGACATTGGATTTGGGGTGTACTTTGAATGGACAGACTCTCCGAACACTGCTGTCAGCGTGCATGTCAGCGAGTCCAGTGATGACGACGAGGAGGAGGAAGGTAGAGCCAGTGGTCCGTATTGACGAGTCCTGGGTTGTGTTGGCAAAAATGGCATGGTTCCCGTGTCAGCCACCCTTATGCTTCCTGATTAACACTTTCTAGACAGGGATTCATTTCTTCATAAGTGGGAACTCAGCTGAAAAGGCTGGGAGACAGGCCAACCTGCCAGGAGGGACTGGGGTCTGAACATGACATTGTTTTAACGCCGGCAGGTCTGTCTGGCAGTATGTTATGGTACTGCTTCCTCAGTATGGTTTTATTTCCAGCATTTTGTGTTGGAAAGCCAAATGTGCAAGATCATTTCGAAAAATTTTAAAAGAGCAAGCAAGAAATTCTGCCAACTCTGGAATTTATTCAAATTTACAATTCTGATATTAGCTTTTTAGGTCGTTACTCTTAAGATTTTTTTTTATATAAATACAGAAACTCATACCAGAACATCGTACCTAAAAGAAATGCCAGCTGTTCTTCCCCATTTTACAAGAGTATAATTTTATATATTCTCTAAGTAGACAAAACGGAGTGTTAACCAGAACAGTCTAAATCCTCTTGGTTTAGGAAGTAGGTTATAAAATGTATGCATATTAATGGAGAAGATGGTCTCCTTAATTCTGTTTTGCAGAAAAGGTAGAGCTCAAGGCTTTGGTCCATACCTAGTGAGCACTTGAGTTCCTGGGTTGGCTTGGCTGAGGCTGGTGTGGAAGGAGTGCCCTGGCCATGGGAGTGGAGAGGCGGCCTCTGGTTCTTGGGACTAGCTAACCTTTCGGGTGATGTGCAGAACAGCTGCTTGTGTTTGAAGATGGTTGGTAGCGCTTCCCAGACGTTGCATCAGGTTATACTGGAAGAGGCAGTAGTCGGAGAGTTGTGGAGGCAGGCTAGATGTTCAGTCTGCTGTCAAGGCGCGCAGCTGGATCTGGGCCCCACGCGTGCCGCACACCAGGCCCTCTGAGGTCATGTGTGGTGACACACGTGTGGGCCTGTGTTATTGAGGAGCTACTTTGTCCCGCAGAACTTTGATTTCTGCCGCTTTTATCTCTGAGGACCGGAGCCAGGTAAAGCCTGGCCCACAGACCCAGGAGTGAGGAAAGAGCAAAGCAGAGGCAAGAGAGACCCGAGCAGGTGTGCCCCGACGCCCATGGCAGGTGCCCCTGAGCAACATCAGGGCTGGCGACTGGCCTCTCTGATGTGCCACAGGGACTCATGAAAATCGGACTATTTGCAAACATCTGGGACAGGAGATGTGTGTGTGCTGACCATTGTACCGCTAAGGAGCTTTGTGGCTAGTGTAGAAGGCTCTGCTCAGAAGCACGTTGGGGTGATCTGTTTCCCCTGGCTTGCCTAGAGAGTCTCCAAAGGAAGGTTGTCCTAGTGTGAGCCCTCTGCTGACTGTCGTTTCTGGGCAGGGATTGGGTGAGGCACCAGTGAACCCTGCTGGGGTCCAAAGCCTCTCTGGAGGCGGGAGTCATGCTACACCCTTGATCTTTGCTCTCCTGTGTGACATCCCTCAGATGGGAATGGGCTTACTTGTCCTCACGCCAGGCCTAACCATAAAATGATTTCCATCTAAATCTAAGCTGTTAATACCCCTGTGTGAGCCGAAACAACAGTGAGGATTTATTGCTCCCAGGAGTTGTTTGCAAAGAGTGAGCATAACTTTATCCTTTTTGAAGATTTAGCTCTCAGACTGCGTGTGTCCCCATGGCTCCTGAGGAAGGCCACTGTGCCACTGTGTCTTGTCCCCACAGTGCATTTTATGGGGGTCCTTTTAGCTTGGATTAAGATGGAAGAGCAGTCTAATCTTTCTGTTTGTTGCTTTGGTTTTTTGGGTTTTTGGGTTTTTTCCCTCCATTGGGTCTTGAAAGCTACAGGAGTTTGTTCTCTCTGCAGAAGTGTGGCTGTTACCCATCTTCCTGCTCTGACTCTTCCCCTCTTTATTGCTGCCAGGTCCCAAGTCTTTGCTTAACTTGACGAAAGGTGCATTGCTCATCTGTCCCAGTAACCTTTAGTTTTACAGGTTTTGAACAAAATCTGGGTCTTGAATACCAATCTGTTCATGGATATTTTTTTTAAAGATTTTTAAATTTAATTTTATTTGACAGAGATCACAAGTAGGCAGAGAGGCAGGCAGAGAGAGAGAGGAGGAAGCAGGCTCCCCACCAAGCAGAGAGCCCGATGCGGGGCTCGATCCCAGGACCCTGGGATTGTGACCTGAACTGAAGGCAAAGGCCTTAACCCTCTGAGCCACCCAGGCACCCCTGTTCATGGATGTTCTTAAAAACAGTAGTTTGCATTTTGAATGGCTCTGTATTTCTCATTTGCAAATGAAGGACATTTAAGTATTGCCGTGATGAAGCAGATCTGGTTTGGGTCTATTTATCAGAATGTCATTTGCTTTTTTTTTTTTTTTTAAGTAAACTTTTTTATTTTAGAATAATTTTAGATTTATAGAAAAGTAGCAAAGAGTTCCTGTGTACTCTACATACAGTTCCACTTAATGTTAACACCCGTTTGTACTGCCGTACGTTCATCATCACTAAGGAACCAATGTAAATACACTGTTATTCGCCAAAGTCCGTATGTATTCAAATTTCCTTAGTTTTTATCTACGTTCCATGATCCCAACCAGAATGCCATGTTATAGTTAGTTATCCTGTCTCCTTCAGCTCCTCTTGCCCAGGAGAGTTTCTCAGACTTTACTTGTTTCAATTCCTGATAGTGACCCCTGACAGTTAACCGATGTCAGAATTCACTCTGCTGTGTTACGGACCCGAAGGTCTTTTATCTTCTGTGCTGCATATTCCTGACCTGTTTGCCTGGGGTTGTTTATATTTGATATGCAGAACAGGTTTTAAGCTGGTTTGGTAATTTCTCACTACTATAGGTTTCCAGAGGTATTTTTTTCCTAACCGCGTATCATTACAGTTCAGAAACTATTAAGTGGGACAGACATAGGATCAGAGCTCCCTTTTTGCCTCTGGGGTTGTCTCTGGGTTGGCACGGGCCTGTAGTGAAAGGAGTACATTTTCAGAGTGTCTCTGAATGCCTGCCTCTCTACTGTGGTTTCCTCATTTTACTCTCTGAGGTGTACAGAACATGATAGTCCTCAGGAGTTCGAGCGCCCCTTCCTAAACAGAACTTTCATGTTGTTGAGGAAGAGGACAAGAACATCGTTTTCCTTGTTGCTCAGACAAGCAAGGTCCGCCTGGCGGGAGGAGTGAGGACCCGAGTGGGTGTCCCTGGGGAAGAGTGGGGCTCAGACGTGGGAGTGAGAGTTAAGGGAGAGAGAGGTGCTGGCTGCTTCCCCCACCAGGTAGCAGCTGCCGAGATACAGGAGTGAACAAATGAACGAAAGACGAAACCGGCACATGCATTGTAGAGTGGCTCCAGAGAATTCCCGAGGAGCTGTTTCTCAGAGGAAGGACGGGGTTGCAGTGCTTGAGGCAAATGTGGTTTTCCCAGTTCTGTTCACTGACGAGTCTCCATTCTGTCTCACAGAAAATGTCAGTAGTGAAGAGAAAGCCAAACAGCACGCCGCCAAGCCTCTGCTGGACGAGATCGTGCCTGTTTACCGGCGGGACTGCCATGAAGAAGTGTACGCCGGCAGCCACCAGTACCCAGGGAGAGGGGTCTACCTCCTCAAGTTCGACAACTCCTACTCTTTGTGGAGGTCAAAGTCCGTCTACTACAGAGTCTATTACACTAGATAAAGATGTTGTTACAGAGTCTGGAGTCTAGGGCTGGGCAGAAGACAGCATTTAGTTTGGAATTTCTTTGGACTTTTCTGGAGCATTGCAGTCAGTGTTTATCCTGTTGATTTTGGTCTGACGGCTGGTGAACTCTTGTTGGAGCTCAGGGTTCCCGTGATACCCTTTAGCATTAATACTCTGGGGCTCGGGGGATTCCTCGGAGCCCTCCAGCCCTTGGGTGCTGCCCACCAGGGTCACTAATGGATGCTGAAGTTCCAGGAGCTGCGTGTTAAATCTTTAAGGTCTCCAGAATAAAACCTCCCCACGTTGACCCCACCTGGCTGATGGTGAGTCCGTTGCTGCCTGCTCCATGTGTCTTACGAGAGCCCGTAGTTACAGGGACCGCTGATGCGACGGCCTCATGTCAGTAGTCTGCCTGAGGTGCAGCTGACTTTGATGAAGGTCATTTTAAAACTTAAAAACTTAAGACCTCACAGATGATCGTAGACAGATTGCCTCAATTCAGTTTTGTTCTGAATGACACAGATTGTTTTTGCTTTGAGTGCAGCTGTTCACAGTTGTAGTACAGAGAATTACTTTCTGAGATAATCTTAAGAATGTTCAAAGCTGATTGATAATTGAACTATCAAGACACCTCGAACACCTCAGACATCCGTCTCAGCAAGCCTGTGCTTGGTCCTTTGCTCTTCCTCTGGTACTCACTCTACCAAGTAACAAAAGCAAAATTAACTCATTTTTGTTTCAATTGGGCTTTGTAGAGCATCTCAAATTAAAACCGTTTTCTACACAAGCATATAGGTAGGGGTTTTGTAAACTCAAATTGGCACCTACTGAAGTAAAATATATAAAATCACTTAAATGTAATTTGCTGTGTGGGGAATAACATTGCACTAAATGGAAATCACTGCCAGAGACAGTCCATTTTCTTTTCATGTGTTAATACTTAGGCACAGACCCTATACGATTCCAGTTTGGAATTGCTTACTAGAGAGAATTGGAAATGCATATGCCCATGCTTAAATTTTTTTTATAGCTTTAATCTGTATTATGTCTTTATAGCTGGGAAGAGGTACACTTTTGTTTTCCTTACTGAAAACAAATATGGATTAATTGCCTCACGTTTGTATAAGTGATCGACTAGTGTAGAGATTCTTGTTTTCAGAAGGGAGGGTGGTACAGCTAGAAAGCGACAAAGACGGCAATACACACGTAATGTTACTGTACGTTGTTACTGAAATATTTAGATTTTTACAATTTCAAATCATACATCACTTCTCGTAGGAGGGTCTCCATTGATTAGCTGCGTTATATACAGTTCCCTGCATAAGGGCCTGTTGGTTTCTGTGTGCTGCATTTCTGTTTTTTAATACCTGGTTTTGTACATACCTAACTCTGTTCTCTTTTGGTTATTTGGAAACTGGATTATTTTCTCTCCTAAACAGTGCTTAATTTGTGTTTTTAAATTTTGATTCACTAGTTCCAGCTCAGAGGTGTCCACACTGTTCTGTCCAGAACACTTTCAGGCTCTCCGTCAGCTCTCGTGTATATATGATATAGAAACCATGGCGTTAGGCACTTCTTGGCTTTTTTTCTTTTTTTTTTTCTAATGAGAAAATACTGTATTTAAAATGTAAAATAAACTTTTAAAAAGCAGGCACTAATATATATTTCTTCCAGCCTTTGATTACAGATGTGTCCTTGCACATGTGTTAAGGTGAATTATCTTCTAAAAATATCATTGTTCTCGGGAGCAGTGTATGTCACTTTACATAAGCAGTGGTTCCTGTCATGTGCTCATGTCAGAACATTTTTTGGTTTTAAACTTTTTTATTGCCTTTGGCTGTTGATTAGTACAGTACAAGTGCGATTTCAAAAAGATCTTGAGAATAATATATTTAATCAATTAAAATGTTTATCTGTAATCCGTTGACGTTTCATTAATACAGTTACTCTCTAAAGTGTTAGTCCTGTATTTCCTCATTTGGGAAGGATGAGAAGAAATGGCCCAGAAGATCTTTTCTGTTTTAAAAAGTTAAACACCAACAACAGACTCTTTCTGACTGATTAGTTTTTGCTGGGAATTGCCCCAGTGAGTTAGGATACGTTTTAAAGTTTTCAGTCTGCTTGGTGGAAAGGAAAGCACTGACTTTTCTTATTGAAAGAGACTTAGGATTATTTCCCCTACACAGCCATGTGCGTAGCGTATTTCTTGAAGTTCTGGGATGCCCTGCCCTGAAATCCTTTCTGAGGTCTGGCCCCTGCAAAGCAGTCAGTATAATGTGGAGTGCCAGAAATGGTTCTATAAATGACCCCCCTGAAATGCAGGCTGACTTGGACCTCAGATTTTGTTTGCTTGTGGGAGAGACAGAACAAGCTGGTTATCTTGGGGTTTTATTGCTGTGTTGGGATACCATGAATGCTTAAGGAGTACATCTTGGAAGCCATGCCACTGAGTTTGTTTTTTGTTTTTTGTTTTTTTTTTTTTTAAATTTGACAGAGATCACAAGTAGGCAGACAGGCAGGCAGAGAGAGAGAGGAGGAAGCAGGCTCCCTGATGAGCAGAGAGCCCAATGTGGGGCTTGATCCCAGGACCCTGAGATCATGACCTGAACTGAAGGCAGAGGCTTTAACCCACTGAGCCACCCAGGTGCCCCTCCTTTTTTTTTTTTTTTTTAAGATTTTACTTTATTTGACAGAGATCACACGTAGGCAGAGAGGTAGGCAGAGAGAAAGGGAGAAGCAGGCTCCCTGCTGAGTAGAGAGTCCCAACATGGGGCTTGATACCAGGACCCTGAGATCATGACCTTAGCCTAAGGCAGAGGTGGTTAACCCACTGAGCCACCCAGATGCCCCTACCGTGCCACTGAGTATTGACCATCCACCTTATGGAAGAGAAGAAACAACCTGTTCAAAATCATAAGTGATTGCTAAAATTCATTGGGGGCTCCCAAGTGCAGCAGTCTGTGACCAAAACCGGCTTTGCGTCGTCTTTTCCCAGCTGAGCTCAGCTCAGCACTTTCATCAGCACCCTGAAAATGTGTGCCTATGATCTCCTTGGGAGAGAGCCAGCCTGAACTTTATTTCAAAATATGTATTAATCAGACTTGGGCTTTTATCTCACATGTATTCACTTAAGATTCTTCAGCTTGCTCATGGAGAGCTTTTTAAGATCAAGTTGATTGCTGTCCTTCCAATACCCTTCTTTGGAATTCATTACGTGATTCTTATTTCAGGTGCTTATTATGTTGCTTGATTTATTTTGTAATGAAGGAAGCATTGGCTCCATTCTCATTAGTTGACAGGCCACTTTTAATAAGTTTGATTTGATTAGGATACTTAATTTAGTACCAGGAAACGAAGTGACCGACTTCTCCAGAACTGACCTTGGCGTTTGGATTCGGGCCATCAAACGTCAACTTCTTGTAGTGTCACCAAAGTCTTGAGCGTGATTGCTCTGTTCGACCGGGCCCGAACTGCTGACTTCCTAGCGAGTCTACGGAGAGAGCCAGTCCAGACGTGATCACAGGTGCTGATTCTTTCGCCTTTCTCTAACGTGCCATCTGTACACTTCCAGCCAGCGGTTTTTACCCTTTACTGACGTCATGAACTTAAATGCCTCCAGTTGAGGAGACGTAGCTGCTTTTTGGTGTGGCCGAATAGAGAGATGGAAACATGGTTCTCACGAGGTCTGCATTTTGCAACTTTGAAAATTCCAGTCTGTGGTCATAGAAAAATTTCCCTTTTACCACGTAGAGGTCTACTCTGTTCTTTTAATCTGCCGGGTTTCTTCTGTAGAGTGGGTTTTTGACCATTTTTCTGTTAATTGAACATTTTAGGTTCCTTGTGATTTTTTTTTTTTTCCTAAGTGGTGTGCCAGTGAACACTCTTACATGTCTTTCTGCACGTCTGCATGAGTTTTTCAAGAGTAGATACCAAGAAGTGGAATTGCTGGCTGACCCGCTCTGTGCCCTGTGTATTTCCGTAGACCTGCCGCGTTGTCCTCCAGAGTGGCTGAACGGATTTCCTCCATCTCCGGAGTGTTGCCGAATACGCTGGAGAACCCTGACTTCATGTCACCGGACTTAAGTCTTTTTTTTTTTTTTTTAAGATTTTATTTATTTACTTGACAGAGATCACAAGTAGGCAGAGAGGCAGGCAGAGAGGAGGAAGCAGGCTCCCTGCTGAGCCAAGAACCGGATGCGGGGCTCAATCCCAGGACCCTGGGATCATGACCTGAGCTGAAGGCAGAGGCTTTAACCCACTGAGCTACCCAGGAGCCCCCAGACTTAAGTCTTAAGTTAAGACTTAAGTCTTGGGCAGTCTCATGGTTGAAAAATGAAATTCCATCTTCATGTGTGTTTCCCTGATAACTAGTAAGATAATCATCATTTTTGTTGGCCAGTTGTATTTCCTCTCCTATAAATTGCCTGTTTGTGTCCCTCTACCCATTTTATAATTAGATAATTTTTTTAAGAATTTTTTAAAAATTTGTTTGACAGAGAGAAAGCGAGAGAGGGAACACAAGCAGAAGGAGTGGGAGAGTGAGAAACAGGCTTCCCGCTGAACAGGGAGCCCAATTTGGGGCTCGATCCCAGGACCCTGGGATCATGACCTGAGCCGAAGGCAGTTGGTTAACAACTGAGCCACCCAGGTGCCCTCAGTTAGGTAATTTTTATATATATTGATTTATTAGCATTAAATATATAGTAGCTTCTATCCTGATCATTCATTATATATAAGTAATTTCTGCCAGTTTATTGCTATTCTGCTTTTATGGTTTTAGGTCTGTTTATAAATACCTATGTTTGGTCGTAGATGTTATAAGCTGTATCAATTTCATTCAGTTTTTTCTTTTATGACTTATTTCCATATATATATACACACACACATATATATACACACACACACACATATATGTGCATATATATATCTGCTTCTAAACTCTGTTCCATATATCTGACCACTTATGTGCTATTACTGTAAATTAGTTTCAAAATATGTTTGTATACAAGGCAAATCTCCCCATTTTTTGGATGCTTTTTCTTATCCATTTTTGAACCTTTGTTCTGTATGAATATTTAATCATTAGCCTGTCATATATCATGAAAAGTCTTAACGGGATTTACATTGGAGTTTTGCATGACTTTCTAGGTTGATTGAGAGAGCTTACATTGATTGCCTTGATGAGAGATTGGTAGTGGGGTACCTGGGTGGCTTGGTTGGTTAAGTGTCTGCCTTTGCCTTGGGTCATGATCCTGGGATTGAGCCTCATGTTGGGCTCCCTGCTCAGTAAGGAGTCTGCTGCTTCCTCTCCCACTCTCCCCGCTTGTGCTTATTCTCTCTCTCTTTCTCAAATAAATAAAATCTTCAAAAAAAAAAAAAAAAAAAGACTAGTAGTTCCATACTCTTAAATGGTATCCAGTAACAGAGACGGAAAGCACAAACAACCCTTAAGAGGTCGTCGCTGGCATTATTAGTTAGGAGGCCGACTAATGTGGGACAGCAACGTCTCAAACATAAAGTGGTTCAGATAAGATAGTCTGAGCTTATGAAGAGGCCAAAGGAGGCAGGTGGTACAGGTCGGGTTGGTTCCAGGGTTTCGTGAAACAATGGAGAGCCCCAAGTTCCTTTAATTCTGTTTCTCTGCCATGCTAGAGGATGGGATTCTTTTGTAATCATGGTTAGAAGCAAGCTTGCCAGGATCACATCGCCCGCCCACTAGGGCATAGGGGGGTAGGCAGGGACACATGCCCATTTTAAGGGGAAGAACCCTTATTTCTGTTCCATCAGCAAGCAATTCGTCCCAGGGCCCCCTCCAGCAACAGTGTCTGCTGGGCAGTCACCTACCCAGCCACGACTCAGAGTGGGTGTGTCTGCTCTGAAACAGACATGGCTTCCAGCGCACAGGCTGCATCTGTCAGGTGAGTTTTGATATCTGTATCCCCATTACAAGAGTCCTACTCATTTATTAGGGAAAATTTAGATCATATGCAGAGACGAAAAGCATGAAAGTAAAATGATAAACTTCCCACAAAGAATAGTTACCATTTGGGAACTTCCTTCTGGTGTTTTTTCTTCTAATTTTCACTTCTAGAATTCTATCATGCAAGAAGGTGGAGAGCATAGGACGATTACCGGTTCCCACCATCCACACTGGTCACACTGGTCGTTGTTTTTGCCTCATCTGCTCATCAGATTTTGTCGAAGCAATAAAAGAGGAATGAGAGAGTTTGAGCAACATGTCCCGTTTCCTGATGACCATCGGCTCGCTCTTCTTCCCAAAGATAATCGTCACCCTGATTTTGAGGTTTATATAATATTGTTCGTTGCCAGAAAAAGGAGATAGTATAGTTTTGCAGAGTGCTTTTGAATTTTATATGCAATCCAAGGAAATAATTATACATTTATACATTCTCGCCTACCTAATACACTCTGGCTTCCGTCACTTAAAAACTAATTTTGTGGGGGCGCCTGGGTGGCTCAGTGGGTTTAAGCCTCTGCCTTCGGCTCAGGTCATGATTCCAGGGTCCTGGCATGGAGCCCTGCATCAGGCTCTCTGCTCAGCAGGGAGCCTGCTTCCTCCGCTCTCTCTGCCTGCCTCCTCTCTGCCTACTTGTGATCTCTGTCAAAAAAATAAATAAAAATCTTTAAAAAAAAAAAAAAAGCAAACAAACTTATTTTGGTAATCTTCCTGTATTAGTACGTAGGAGCTTCACGTGAATTTGTTTTCCATTGTGTTTGGTGAAAATCGTGCAGTTAACCATTTTAAAGTGTATGGTTCAGGATGCCTGGGGGGCTCAGTCGGACAAGTGTCTGCCTTCAGCTCAGGTCATGTTCTCCAGGGTCCTGGGATCGAGTTCTGCATCAGGCTCCTTGCTCCGTGGGGAGTCTGCTTCGCTCTCTGCCTACCCCTCCCCCTCTC